ATAACATAACAGGTGCTCAGCAAGTCCCTGCTGAAGGAAGACGTAAAAGCCTTGGGTACGTTGGTCCAGGAGAAGCTGGGTGTGTTCCTTTCTGCAGGCCAGAGGAGCAGGTCAGCAGCCACCATGCTGGATGTAACCGCCTCCTCTCCTTCTCGAATCCCTTTTGGGGGTAGGGGCAGCAAGCACAAATTTTACCCAGGTGCCAGAGAGCCCCTCCAAGTTTTATAACAGGCCCTCAGGACGCCAATTGCCACAGAGAGAAAAAGTCAGCCCCGGGGAACTTCTCTGAGCCTCTCGGATGAGGTGGGCTATTTTGGGACGCGCATTACACGGGAGGGCCTGGGACAGCAGGCGTGTGGGGGAACGAACACAGCCACAATTACTGTTAATGACCAGGTGTCGTGTCTTTGCTGCACACACAGCCAGCCGTGTGCAGCGGGCCAGAGGAAGGGGAATGAGAGCCAAGGACCCGAGCAGGAGGGAGAGGCGGCTGCCAAGGAAGGAGGAGGGAGCGGGAGGAGGCACAGCTTCTCAGCTTCTCAGGAAGGCGAGGTCACCTTGGCCAAGATGGCCTCCAAAATTGGAACAAGTTGGGGATGCAGCCGTGAGGAGCCCCACCTAACTCAGGGGAACTCCGGACCCAGGGCAGGAGGAGCCAGGAGAGGGCCAGAGGCTCTCCCCAGATGGCAGGGACTCATGGGCTGTCCCCAGCACCACAGGACCTGAGCCTATTAGGATCCCTTTCCTGGCTGATAAAGCTTTTTAATGCATCTCAGTAACTGCTCCGACCTGTGTGGTTCAGTCGGCAGGAGCTTGAGGGTCAGACTTCTGTGATGGGGCCACCTACCTAGGTGTCGAGTTTAATCCCGGGTCCAGGTTTGCATGATCCTGGGTCCAGTCAAGGATGACAGGCAACCAATCGATGTGTCTCTCTCACATCGATGTTTCTCCCTCTTTCTTCCTTCCTCGGATGAGGACTTTTTAAGGAAGAATCCCAGCAGAGATGCTCAGAGTGCTCAGCCGTGTGGCACAGCTGTGCGGCCGGGCGGAAGGCCCGGGGCTCAGGCTGCGGGGATGCGTCCCATTGCTCTCCCTGGTTGGCAGACAGCCCTGAGCAGACCACCCCGATCGCCCTCCCCGAAGCCTCAGTGTGCTTGTCTTCCACACCGGACAGGGCTCCCTTTCCCAGTCCACTCCACCAGGCTGGGCAGGCAGATGAGACGGCGGTGCACGGAACACCTCCGTCCGCGGCCCGGAGCCCCTCTCTCTCTGTGAGGGCCGTGGCGTCACTCCTCCACCGGCTGCACGGAGGGAGCCCCCAGGGCAGCTGGCTGTGGGCCCTGGGCCCTCTTTTTTTATTCTCGGTGGCAGGCGTGTTACCTAGTCCACATTCACGGCTCGGCGATGTTGACTGAATAAATAAGTCCTTGGCGTGTAAAGGGGAATATTACAAAAAGATCAGAGTTCGTTTTGATCAGTTAAAGCTAAGAAAGATCTTGTCCAGTGTGAACTGTTAATCAAGTATTCTACTTGAACGCTCCCCTTCTGTGCGACTCCAATTTGTGTCACTTAACATTTGTGCTCCTGGAGAGCAAACGCCACGTCTTCACCGTTTCACGTCAGTGTAAGCGCCACGTGGGCAAGGACTTGGCTGTCTGGGCGCTGCATCCCCCGGGCCTCGGACATGCCCTTGCGCTTAGAAAGGCTCAATAAGAATGTGGTAAGTGAATGAATGCTTCGTAACCCATAGCTCAGTGCTAAGCATCCAGCAAATATTTGTTGAAGGAACAAATAATTAAACAAGGGGAACACTGTCTTTTACCAATGTTCCTTCCCAGCATTCTCCACTCAGGCTGCAAAACAAGGTGGGCAGGTAGACAGGCTCCGGAGTCAGATGGTCTGAGTTCTAATCCTGGCTCTTCTAATTCGCTGGCTGGGCGACCTAGAGCGAGCTGCCACTGAACCTCTCTGCGCTCCAGTTTTCTTCTTCTTCTTCTTCTTCTTCCTGTACTCCTCAATCCCTCCACCCCCGCTCCCCACCCCGTGCTTCTTTTCTTTCCTGTAAAATGAGGGTGATAGTTTTTCTAATAAGATTACATGAATTCACTGGAAGGATACCTCAAGTATTTAGCACAGTCCCTGGCACAGAGTAGTTGCTGCTATTTTAAAAAATGACCTGCTGGTCTACTAATAACCTTCAGTGGCTCCCCTCTACCTACAGAATAAGATCCAAAGCCCAGGTCCCCACAGTGTGGCCCCAATGTCCCTTTTTTCCAGTCCCATCTTTTCACTCCTTAATACTAACTGCCCTTTACCAGCTGCTGGACACTCTAATAAGTGATGGGCATCCATCGGCCTGTTTCCATTCTCACACTGCTCTGTAAGGTAGGGCTGACCGTTGCCCATATTTTGCCGATGATGTGACTAAGGTTCAGAAAGGGAAAGTAACTTTCCCAGGGACACACAGCTTATCCCAGAAAAGCGGGACTGTATCCCAGCACTCTCTGATGTGGAAGTTCACAGTCCTGTTCACCAGCCTCTGGAACCCTCGCTATGCAAAGTGCCGTCTATCTGCCAGCACCACCTGGGGGTTTGCTAGGGATGCAGAATCTCGGGCCACGGGAGGTCGGAGTTGTTATTCCTCTTTACAGAGGTGAACGCCGAGGGTCAAGTGCAGCCGCCTGCCGCTGGACACTGGGGGTGCATCCTGAGAAACGCGGCCTCAGGAGACTGTCGTTGTGCAAACGTCACAGAACGCACTCCCATGCACCCGAAAGGCCAGCCCAGCACAAGCCGAGGCCTGGGCTACAAGCCTGTACAGCCCAGGACTGTACAAAACAGCAAGACATTAAATCGAACTCAAGAGAACATGATACGATCCAGAGACAGTAAGCCCGAGAGGTATGAGGCTACTGCCGGCAGGACACCCCATTCTGGTTTACAGCAAACTTGGTTCTTTTTTATACGTAGGAAAGGCACACTCTAAAATAGCAACAAAAAGTATAGTAAATGCATGAAGTAGTAGCATCGTCGTCCATTCTTCTTCTCCGGCACCTCGCACCGCGCACCACACACCACACACAACTGCCAGGGCGTTTATGAGACGGGCAGCGCGGCGGGTGGGTTTGCACCAGCACCAGCTCCAACACATGAGTGACGAGTTGCACTGCTCTTTTTAACATTTATTTTCCAATTGCAGTTGACATAGAATATTATATCAGGTTCAGGTGTGCAACCTCGTGATGAGACATGCAGGCACCTTACAAAGTGTTCACCCTGAAAAGTCTAGGACCCCCTGACGTCATCCCTAGTGATTACAACATCATATTCCCTGTGCTGCACTTTACATCCCAGAGTCACTCTCTTTCAAAGAAACCTGTACCGAGCACCTACTGTGTGCCAGGCACTTAGTAGGCCTTGAGGAAATGTTGGCTCCCCAGGGCACAGACTCTGGCATCTGGTAGGGCCTCAGGTCATTAGGAAACAAACTCAATGCTCTCCAGTCTAAAGGTGAAATTTGTCTGTACTTTTGAGTAGAGTGTTCCCAGCAGTGAGACCTTCCAAGTCCGGAGAGTGGGAAAAGGGACAGGTGAGGGACAGGCCCCTCGGTGCTCACCACCCCGATCTTGGGGCTGACACAGGATGGCAGAACCTACTGTTGTCAGGAAAGTTGCTTGTATTTGAAAATCTAACCCTCACTTTTTCAGGCCATGAAGGGAGCCTTGGCCCAGAAACAGCAGGAGATCCCTTCAAATTCCCTGGAGTTAAAACCAGGTCCCAGATTCTGTCATTTCACAAGAGAAACAGAAAGGACAAAGGTGGCTGTGATGGGGGCAGAGATCTCTGAGACACAGAACCTGAAGGGCAGTTTCTCTGCACGGGGAGCCCCGTGCAAACCACGGGTTTCTGGGCCTCAGCTTCCTCGTCTGTGCAACGAGGGGTGTGGACTCGCTTCTAAATCGCCTTCCAGCTCTCAGACGCCGAGATGTAAAATGCGAGAAACGTGAACTCTTCGTCGCTGTGATCTGAAGATATTTTGGATGTAGAGAATCAAACTCATAGCGGTGCTCGAACGAAATAATACGCTGAGGATTAAGAAGATTCTGTTTAATTCAATGGGAAACAGCAGAGCTGCGGCTTCTGCTGCTGCTGGTGGTGGTTCTGTGCCTGTCTGTGTGCGTCCGTGTGTGTGGCTTTCTTCCTTGAGCTCAGACGTCTATTTTGAATCACTAATACAGTAATCAGGCCTCTGGCAGCCTGTCTTGCCACACACATACACCCCCCCACCAGCTTCAAATTAAAATGGGGGGAAATTCCATTCGCGGCTGCTTACGCTTTTGCTGTATTTTGGTGGGGTTTTGTTTTGTTCAAGAAATTTTTATCGTGGTGAAGGTGTTGGATTGATAGCCTCTGGAGGGAGGCTTCTGATCTCAGAACTGGGACGCGTGGGCTGGGAGCTGGTGGTTTTATTAGCATTTTGCTTTTGCACACTAACTGCCCCTCCTCAGCCGTTAAAATCCGGTTTAGCAGCAGGGCCCCCAGGCTCTCCAACTGGGAGAGGTCAAGCCCGCAGCCCCAAAGACGCCCTGGCCAGAGCACATGCTCCGGGCATATCTGTGGGGGCGGGGCGGGGCGAGTAACCTGCACCTGCGAGGTGTCTGGCTCTGCCCGCCGCGGCCCCAGCAGGGTTAGCTACCCCACCTTTCCCGTAAGAAGGGTCCGGGCCGGAAGGTGGAAGCAGGCCAGAGGCTGCACGTGGGTCTGCCTACGGCCGCGCTCCACGTTCCTGCCCACACTGGAGCTCCCGGCTCGGGCTGGACCCCGCAAGCCTAGGCCCTGTTGTCCCCGGGGAACCCCCCGAGGTCATCCGTGCCGCTCGCGCCTGCAGAGGCGGAGGGCGAAGCGGCCCCTCCCCGCCCGCCCGACGGCCGCGCCCGCGCCCCGGCCCCCGCCGATTGGCCCACCTCGCGGCCAGGTGAGGCGCCCCGCCCCTCGGCGGCTCCAGGTTGCGGCGGCGGGACCGGGGCCGCTGCCGGGGCGGTGGCGGGCGGCCGGGCACCATGGCCGAGTCCCAGCTGATCTGCCTGGACGAGACCCACGTGAACGAGCGGGTGACCGAGGCGCAGGCCGCCTTCTACTACTGCGAGCGGCGGCGGGCCGCGCTGGAGGCGCTGCTGGGCGGCGGCGAGCAGGCCTACCGCGAGCGGGTCAAGAAGGAACGGCTGCGGGACTTCTTGTCCAGCCAGGAGCGCCAGGCCCTCCGCGCCTCCTGGAGCCCCTACGAGGACCCCGCCCCTGCCGCCGGCTCCACCAACCGGGGCAAAAGCAAGGCCAAGGCCAAGGCCCCGCCGCAGGCCCCAGCAGAGCCCGGCGAGTCCCTGGCCTACTGGCCCGACCTCTCCGACACCGAGGTGCCCCCGCTGGACCTGGGCTGGACCGACACGGGTGTTTACCGCGGTGTGAGTCGTGTCACCCTCTTCACCCACCCCCCTAAGGAGGAGAAGGCGCCCCACCTCAAGCAGGTGGTCAGGCAGATGATCCAACAGGCCCAGAAGGTAGGCCCTGTACCCCGCCGCCTCACGGGTGGGACCCCACGACCAGTCAGTCCCTTGGGATCAGGCCCCACCTCGGGGGAAGACCGCCCTGACCGCGCGCCGGAAAATGGTCCAGGAAACCTCGCTCAGGTCGTGGGGCTGTGGTGAGGCCTCTAGAGGAAGTGTGTGACCGGCTTTGGCAAATGACAAAGTTATGGACTGCCGTCAGTCGTCACTGCGGGGTCCAGAGGCACTGGCTTCCATCCGCCATGTCCCTGGAGAGTTTCTCTCCTTTAGGATGAGTGTGGGCTCACGGGGCCCTGTGGGAAATCGGGCCACTCAGAGGTCCTGATAATGCCTCCGTGCTGCCCAGGGGTTCACAAAACACAACCCTGGCCATTCGCTCCTACGGTCTGCGGAGCAGCCCCGGGAAGCCAGTGGCTGGCCCGTCCCAGCCCCACCCTAGCCATTCTGTTCTTGGCCTTGCTGCTGGGTCAAGGCTGCCCCGGCTGGCCCATTTACACTCCCCACTGGGCCCAGCACTGGAGCTCAAGCAGCCTGGAATCAATGAGGAATATGTTGTGAGCACCTCCTATGTGCCTGGCTCTGTGCTGGGCACTTGGACAAGACGGGTCGCTGGACTTCAGCTGAGGAAAAGCTCCCCCTTTACCTAGTCTGCTGTGCGTAGGGGCTGAAAGGAAGGAATGCTTGCAGGTTGGCTGATTAGAATATAGGTGGGGCAGAGATTTTAATCTTTGCTCTGTGGCCTTGGGTAGGGTTTCCAGGGAAAATATAAGACACCTCCTTAAATTTGAATTGTTAATATGCCCCCAAATACTTCATGGGGCATACTGATACTGTAAAGTTAATCATTACATATCTGAAATTCAAAGTTAATGGGCATCCTGCTTTTTATTTGATAAATCTGGCTCCCCTCACAAAGATTTGCTAAGAAGCACCAGTAGTAGCCTTTGGTGTCTGGTTCAGAATACACAGCAGGAGCGGCTGGGGTGCACTGTTCTAAGTCAGCTCAATGAAAGCGTCTGGAGTTCGGTTACCCCGAGACCGAATGGCCTGGCGAGGGGAGACTAACCTGAAAGACCGGTGGTGGAGCACCTCTTCCGGGAAGGGGCGCTGCTGCAGGTCCCTGGTAGACTGGCCACCGGGAGGAAGGGTTAACTTGCACTGTCCGTGTTTCCTCCCTCTCTTTCTAAGTAATTCCTCTTTGTCTGCCTGAGCTGCCTTTGTCTATTGCATTCTGCAAAAGACAAAGGCCAGTTGGAACAGAGGGAAATGGACGTGGGTGACTATTTTGCAGCAGGCTGCAGCTGAGGTCTGGGGTTGAGTCTTATAATACTGACGGGCCTCAGTTTATTAGCACTTCCGGGCCTGCATGTTCTCCTTTGCTTTTTGCGACAACTGGGGGAAATGGGAATTTTCCTTGCTTTTGAATTCAGAACAGTTACTTGCCACAGATCAGCATAGCTAGTAAGTGGTTGAGCCAGGATCCAAATGCCAAAGTCCTTGGTCTTGACCCACAGTGACACTGTTCGTGGCGAGATAATGGGTCCTCGGTTCCTGTCTCCTTGAAAGATTTCAGTCAAGAGACAAAGTGCAGTAAAGCAAGAGTTTATTGGCCTCGGCCAACGCACACTCAGGACAGTGAAACGAGGAAGGGCTTGGCGTGCAAGAAGCAACGGGAGAGCCCAGGCAGGGCTGCTGCGGCTCAGTGGGAAGTCAGAGAGAAGGGGGCCTTGGAGACAGGCTCGGGGGGTTAGCCCGGGGGAAACTGCCGCTGTCCGTTGCCTCCCTGGTTTGCAAGTTTCATGGGGACCCTTAGAATTGAGGAGGTGTGTGCCTGTGGGGGAATAAGAGGGGAAAGGGAAAGGCATGGGCATGCTCCCCAGAGGGAGAGCGAGTGCTGGGCCCTTTGTCCCGAGGGTTTGTCTCTCTGTGTTGCAGGCGGGAATCTTAGGGGAGGCCTAAAGGAGGATCTCAACAGAACATTAGTCCGTTTTCCGGGTGTGCTCTTGTTAGGGTCGTGGCTCCACCGATGGGTCAGCGCCAGGGCAGGGGGTCATTAGTCAGTGCAGCTGGTCCTGAGGCAGCCCTGGCATTGCCTGTCTGGTTCTGCTGCCTTTCTGGGCCTGGATCTGAAGTACAGCTGGGGCCTAGATGTTATCTTTAGGGAGCAAAAGTGAGGGTGTCTAAACTGCACGACCAGCGATATGAAGGGTCAAGGGGGTCCGAACCACATGGCCAGCGATATGCTGGGAGAGGAAAGGTTACCCTGGGGGGCAAGGTCCTTGTTTTCCCAGTTTTGCCCAGTGAGGCACCCAGGGCTTTCCACTCCGGTGACCTGTACCTGGCTCATCGTCCTCGCTGTGCTCATCTGTCTGACTGCCTACCCACCATGCCCTGGCCCGCTGTCTGAGGGCGGTGCGGCAGGGCTACACCAAGGAGCTTGAATGGAATTAGCCCGGGCACAAGCTGTTACAAGAAGGGAGAAGAGACAGCGCTTCTGCCCACTGGGGCTCATAGCCCCACGTGGGATGTCAACTGTCTCTTGTGTAATGGAGTGTTGTAAACTCTCAAAATATTTAACAACAGAAATGTTAACATTTGTGACCTGATCCAGTATTCCAATCCATGCATCTTTAACCCGTAGTTATTTCCGGAAGGCCTAATGTCTGGCAGGCGCTAGCCCTAGGAGGATATCATCTGTGGCTTTTGCCTTCCAAGAGTTAAATGCTGGGGCATGTGCTCCAAGGAAGAGCTTTTGAGGCCGGATGTGCTTAATCTGGGAGGGCTTCCTGAGGGAGGTGAATTGCTGTGGTAAACACAGAAGGGAACTGGAAGGGACAATTTTGTCATAAGACACACAGGAGCAGGAGCAGGAGAAGGAGGGAGAGATTTTTGCTTGAAAACAGCAAGCAGCTCTGATTGGCAGGAGGAGAGAGCTGCCCTGGTGGGAGCTGAGTATTGTGTGGGGCCTGGTGTGGGGGTCCTAAAACTGGTCTCAAAGCAGCTGAGCACAGCCCCTGTTGGTGCCCACTCAAGTCCCAGGCCCCCTGGGCCCCCGCTCTTCGTCACTGTGGCTCACACCTGTACAGCACCTTCTTCTCAAAGACCCTGTGAAGGAGGTAGGGCAGGTGAGGAAACTGAGGCACAGAGAAGGAAGGGGGCTCGCCCGAAGGTCACGTGGCTGGTTATAGAAAGACACTGATCCCTAGCTTCCACTCTAAAGGCTACGCCTCTGACCACTGCCCAACCCCACTCATACCCCAACTTGTCCAACTGGCAAGCAGCCCTCCATGGCCATTATTAGAGTCCTCCTCCTTCCTTTCACCCCAAAGCGTGGAGTTTTTTTGTTTCCAGTGAGCCTGGCCGCTGCAAGGCCAGATGGGGCAGACCGTGAGATAGTTCAAGTGCAGAGACAGGGTGACCTGGGGAGGAGAGGCAGAGGACAGACGTGTCCAGTTGTGTGCCAGAGTTTTGTATTTTATCTCATTTAACCCTCGGGATACTCCTGTAGGTTATTCCGGAGTGAGAACAAGGAACTAAGGCTCTGCGGCTGTGACTTACCTGCCACAGCTGCAGACGAGTGAGGCTTCCCGGCCTGGGCCCCCGGATTCAGAGAAAGGAGCCTAACTAGGGGACGCTTTGAAAATATGATTGGGGGTTGGAGAGGAGAGGCGGGGAGGGCAGTGACCAGTGAGGAAGCAGCCCAGCAGGTGTGGAGGTGGGGCCTACCAGGAATGGGAGGAGGTCTTTGAGGCTGTCATCTTATCTGCTCTCTGGACCTCTCTGCACACGTCAGAAGGCCCTCTGGGTCACACCGGGGAGCCATGTTTACTTGTGGGGTGGGTTTGTTTCTTTTTATGATTTGCCCCCCTAGGGTTATCCACTTATTTTAGTGTCACCGAATGTTGTATTTCGTCAGCATAAACTACAGGCAGAAAGGATGCTTTCAGGATGTCAGAAATGAGCTCCCGGTCTGTCCCATGTTGGCAGAAATGACCAGGGGAGGTTGCAGCTTCCTGGCCTGCTGACATCAGTGTAACTGCCAGGGGGCGGGCTTAACGCAGGACCACGTGTAGGCTGGAAAGCTCTTGGTTCATACTTAACACAGGCAGAGTGAGAGGCTCAAACAAGTCTAATCTGGATGGGCTTTTGACTCGGAAGGATAGCGCACTCATGGTCACCAGGCAAATATTTTGAGGTCTGCTGTGTGCTAAGTACTTCAGTAGAGAACAGACATATTAAACTCACCTCTGCTCTTAAGTAGCCTAAGAGTCTACTAAGCCATCATTATGATACGGTATGATGAGTGCTTAACTAGAGGGTGTGGCAGGAGGGCCACTCACCCAGCCCGGGAGCGGGGTTAGGGCAGGACCTTTGATGCTGTGGATCCGTCTGCAGGCCTGTCCAAACGCAGCAGGAAGAATGAGATTGCACCAAGCCCTCCACCCGTCCTCCGCGCTCCCCGGTGACCCGGTAACCAGCAGCATCCATTTGAGAGGCTGCTGGGCGGGTTGAGAGGGTTTATTGCCTGTGCTTCAGGGACACAGCCTCCCCAACCCCCAAGATTGACCTTGACCTCTGCATTCCTGGGCCCCCTGACCTCTGCATTCCTGGACCCCATTTCCTTTGAGCCTCAATCACCTCCAGGTAAGGAAGAGTGCTAGCTTCATTTCACAGACATCCTCTGAGGTCACAAAGGTGAGATGACTTACCTTCAGACCAACCGCAGGGAAACGACACTGCTTCCTCAGGCCCCTGGTCGGGATTACCAATGGCCCCACGAAGATTCCAAGCACAACCCAGGAGAGGGTGGCCTCTGGACTGCTGGACGAGGCAACTTGTATTCACCAGGAGCTGTTCCTCGTTTTGCTGCTGCAGCGGGAGGAGTAGGCCCGCATGTGGCTGGTGCGGACAGAGGGGCATGGGCGCCCAGGCCAGGCCAGGCCAGGCCCTACCCATCTCTGCCTGTTGACGGGTTTGCTCCCTTTTCTTCAGTG